AGGAGTGTCCCAGCCGGGCCCTGGCACCCTCGCCGGTCAGCCCCCCCCCGCTCGCCGCTTGCCTTCCAAGCGGCGGCGGCGGCGTTGGCGTTCGTAGAGCGTTCTGTGCGCAGGCGCACAGAACGCTCTTGCACTTTCGGGGGGATTTAAACATCCCCCCAATATTTTTTTTTAGTTTTTAGATTTTTGTGCACCCCTGGGGACTGCCCCAAGAGTGCACAAACCTCCCCCTCCCCCCCAAGTGCCCTCGGAGCGCTGATTTAGCGATCCGCACTCCGGGGGCCACTTGGCAATTAGATATATAGATAATATACATTATACATGGAGCTGCGGTAGCTCAAGTGGTTAAGACGTTGAACTGCAGGCTGTGGAAGGTCGGTAGTTCAGCAGTTCGAGACCCGAGTTGCCGCATGACAGAGTGAGCTCCCGTCTCTAGTTCCAGCTCCTGCCAACCTAGCAGTTCGAAAGCAAGAAATTGCAAGTAGATAAATAGGTACCACTTCGGTGGGAAGATAACAGCGTTCCGTGCACCTTGGTGTTTAGTCATGCTGGCCACATGACCACGGAAACATCTTCGGACAGCGCTGGCTCTTCAGGTTTGAAACGGAGATGAGCATCGCAACCCTAGAGTCGGATTCGACTGGCTTTCGAGCAAGGGAACCTTTACCTTTACCTTTTTACATTATACCACTTCTCCTGGAATTTGAATCCAAATTGAAAGCTCTGAAGCTGTCTTGCCTTCCCTAGGTACCCATATGTTCTCCATTGACTGTGGGTGCTCTTGCATGATGGTGCCCTGGTCCTGAAAAATCTATACAACAGCAGTCAGCTTTGGCTGTTAAGGTCCCAACACAGTTTGGTGTAGTGGTTAGGAGTGTGGATTCTAATCTGGGAGAACGGGGTTTGATTCCCCACTCCTCCATATGCAGCCAGCTGGGTGACCTTGGGTCAGTCATAAGTTCTTTCAGAGCTATTCTCTCAAGGGAGTTCTCGAGAGAGCTCTCTCAGCCCCACCTACCTCACAGGGTGTCTATTGTGGGGAGGGGAAGGGAAAGGACTCCTTCAGGTAGTGAAGAGCGGGGTATAAATCCAAATGCTTCTTTTTGGTTCTGCTGGAAGTATCTAGTGTTCTGGAAGTAGCTAGTATTATGACGTTTAGCTTTAAAGCCTTCTGGCATTCTAGGCAATTGTTGTAATTTCTCACCTTTCTATCGCAGGACACCAGATGCCGCAGTGCCTGCATGGGGAGGCGAGGCGAACGCAGAAGAAAGTTCTGACAGCGAATCCTCGTTTAGTGATTAAGTGCTTATTATTGTTTCTTTTGAAAACTCCATGCAAACTCTCTGTTAAGTGCTAATATACATAACTTAACCTGAAAGATTCCTCATAGTTTGAGCCATATGAAGTATTGCTTAAGAAACAGTTACTTTGCACTGGGATCTTCATGTTTGTCTTCCGCAGAGTTTTGAATGAAAGCCCAGCCCAAACCAGAAGTGAGATAGTCGTGGCGGCACTCTTCCTAATGATGCTGTGGCCTTGACTTCAGTCACCATCCTAAAGAGGTTCAGAGTCAAACTTGGCAGGGGTGAAGCCTTGCATTCCTTAAGGAATGACATTCTCTGAAGTTTCTTTGGACTTAACTTTAGGAAGGGAATCTTTCCCAACAGCTGTCTACTATATTCTCATCCATGATTCCTCTAAATGATAAATGGTTCCCTATGCTGCATTTTTTCTATCAGTATTGAATGAGAGTTCACAATCTAATGACATTATGGTAGAAATAACGAATACTTTATTTGATCCAATGATCTAAGAGTTGGGGGTGCAAAAGGGACAGCTCAAGGAGAGGGGATAATATTTGTTCTTTGAAATGAGTGAATGGTAGCAAGCTATTACATATTGCTTCTGGAGTGCCACCATGTTTTGCTGGAGATGGATGGCTCTCAGCACTGTGCCGGGTGGCCCAGCACCAGGCCAGGTGCCCCTACAAATGTGCAGCGCACTAGGGATGAGAGTAGGGCTGCCAAGCCGCGGCGGGGGATCTGCAGGTCTTCACAGGATCCCTGCCGCGGGGGGCAGCGATACGCGTTGCACCGCCGTCGCCAGGATGTGACGCTACACGTCGCTCTGGCAACGGGACTCCAAACAGCCCCGTTGCCAGAGTGACGCGTAGCGTCACATCCTGGCAACGGCGGTGCAACGCGTATCGCTGTCCCCCGCGGCAGGGATCCTGTGAAGACGTGTGGATCCCCCACCGCGGCTTGGCAGCCCTAGATGAGAGGCAGCAGTACCTTTCCAGCCATGCTCCTCTCACAACATGTTTTTCCATGGGAGCACTGTATGGAAATCTTAGTCTTATGACGCCAAATGTTGCAAATTGCTCCACTGTTGCCCTAGTTGGCAATGGGTTATTGGTGCAGAATGAAGGAAGTAAGACTAGATTACTTCAGAGAATAAAACTCCAAATACTTTTATGAAAGAAATTTATTTTCCTAGAAGGTTTGGTTTAATGCAGTAGCAAATATTTCCATTACTTGTGATTGAAGGATGGTACCAACCAAGCTGGAAAATGGCTTCCAGTTGCTGAAGTGAAATGAGGTGGGTTTATACTTGGGTATCCAGTAGATGTCCTGAAAAGTGGTTTCAGGAAAGTAACCTCTGACATAGCCGGATCTATTTTTAAAGCAGACGAATTGCCTTATAGAGACATCTAGTAGAAAAATTGACCTGTTTTAAGTAAAATCTAGCCCTCTGAATCAAAACACAAATTCCCCCAAGTGTGTTGAAATACATTTCTATTCAGCAGATGTTTTTGTTCTGGTAAAGTTGAGCATGTGACTACTTGGTCAACCTTGTCATGATTTGTCGACAGACCACTTTACATATTACAGATTAAGAGTGTTCTCAAGGCATACATTCGGTGCGTATCTGCACATATGAAGCAGTACGGTACTTCTGATCCATCACATATGCTCATCAGGGAGCTGTAGTTGATGGTGTGACACTAATCTTGAATCTGTGAAGTGGCTCTCTGAACATTTCTCCCAAACAGCCTCAGTAATCAAGCTGATATTACTATATTCCCACTCTGCTGTTTTGAATTTGCTGCACATGTGCTAATTTGTGTGTCATGTGTACAACCAAAGCTAGGATGGCTCTTGCAAATCAAATTTGAAGCTGAGCCATGAGGCTGGAAGATGGACACTCATCTTGGTCTGGATAGTTCTAAGGCTCCATTGGTGAAGACTGTCATGCAGTTTTCTGGCTGGATCAAGAATTTCCAGTTCACTCTCGGAAAACAGGACATCATAGATAACACAAATCTGAAAGTTCAACCTATCTTTTTTTTTTTTAACTGACTTGACTTTCAGCAAAATGCACAACTAGTGTCTGTCAGCAGTAAACCATTTCAAGTTGTTAAATGCTTGTTAACACGCTGCCTAATAACACATATTGTATACTACTGCACTTCATTCTGTATGTCTGATGGGGGAAATGCCTGAATTTATAATTAAAATTATGTTTTTGTAAATCAAATTTGTGATTCTTTGCTGTATCCAAATGCTTATCCTTGTGTGTTTGGGTGGCATCCTTGTGAATTTTATTTAGAACAAATTAAGCAAGTTAAATTGATCTCCCAATTAGAATCAAGAGAATTCTAGAAAATGTTTTTATGCCTAGATACTAAAAAGATCCTTTGACTGAAATTCGAGTTATCCATTGGGGGAACAATGAATCATCTGCACAGTCTTGCCTTTGGGTACCCTTTTCTTGGTTATTCTAGGTTATGATATGGAGGTGGCACTTAGAAACTGGATTTGGAAAGTGGAGATATTGCTTGGCATGGAAGAATCGAGAATCTGTGTTTTTACTTAGTAGTAGAGTCTGAACCTCAGCCTCTCTGCCTTGTTGTTGGACATCCAGAGGAACTGGTTGGCCTCTGTGCGAGACAGGATGCTAGACTAGATGGACCCTCAGTGGTCTGATCCAGCAGGGCTCTTCTTATGTTCTTAACCATTTGAATACCAGATGCTACCTCTTCCCACCTTTTAGTGCAAGTTTTAGGTCTTCAACATCTACCTCATCTTTGTTGCTAGAAAATGAAAACACACTTAGTCAAAGGAATTTTTTAAAAACAAAGAAACAAGGAGTTGGCATACCCTGCAATCTGCCAAAATATCTCAGTTCTTTTAACAAGACTGTTGCTTTGTGAGATTTAAAAAAATTATCATACTATAGAAGTTTAGCCGTTCAAAGATTCCATCATATCCCAAGACAGCCAAATTAGAAATGGATAGGGGTAAGGTTGGCTGAACGTGCAATTCACTTTCACCCTCCATTAATGGTGCTGTTCAGACTTCAGAGGGACTTTAAATGTTTTAAGATGTGCTTTAAATGTTCTTCTCACGGCAGAGCTAAATTGGTGGATTCTTTTCCTTTACCAGATGTCAAAGGCCTGCTGAACAGACATTGTGGGTTGGTTGGCATGTTTTCATGACATTGTATAGATTATGTCAGATACAACATCACTGTTGTGGTTTGGGTTTATTTATGGGAAACATCCTGGTTAGGACCATCTCTTGTCCTGATCGTCAGTACTTAAGAATCTGGTGTGCTTCCAGTTGAAGCTGTCTTTCTTGAAAACAAGGGAGTGCGCCGAGAAATAGGGGGAAAGTTTGCAGATCCAGGTTCCCTTTAAGCCAACCAGAGATTCTTCAACAATTCATTTCTAAATACAGTGGATGGTTTCAGTAATCTAGATTCACATAGGCTTTTCCGTGTATATGAAACAGAACACAAACAAAATAATGTATCACAAATACATAATTTGAGAACACTGCATAGTTCTTACTCTTGTTAATAACCCAGAATACTTCAGTATTTCAAAAAGAAGACTACTCTCTGATACATTTTGATGATCCTATATATGATAGCAAAGTACTGCCACCACCACCACCCCCGGATTAAAAGAAAAACTACAAAGGGGAGATGGCATCCAAAGCTTGATCTGATAATTCTGCCAATTTGAGGAAATATCTAGTTTTGCAGAAAAATTGTAAAGGTTAAAGAAAAAAGGGGCAAGGCTGACTGAAGCGCACACACACACAAAAAAACCCTGCCTCACAAGGTAACAGCTGCCATCGTGGGTTTCCTCCACTCAGCACTGGAGAATCAGCATAGCGCATAGTGGCTAGAGCATCAGACTAGGATCTGGGAGACGCAGGTTCAAATCCCCACTCTGCCACGGAAGCTTGCAATACACTCTTAGCCTAACCTACCTCTCAGGGTGGTTGTGCGCATGAAAAGGAGGATACTGTAAACCACTTGGATTCCCATTGGGGAAAGGGTGGGGAATTATACATGAAGTAAATATGTAAACTAGCCAGACACCTGCCCCACTTATCGCTTCTTGCATAACTTGCAGATGTGCTTAGGCACCTTTTCCACAGAAATGACTGCAAGTGCAGTTTTGTATTAATCCCCTTTAGTGATAAAGGGAGCTGGAATCAGAAGTCAGGTACAGGGGAGAGGGAGAGGCCATGGGGGCTGCAAGGGGCGGGGAGAAAGAGAAGGTGGCAGTTGGGGGGGGGTGGAGGTGGAAGGAGGGAAGAAAGTGGATCAAAGATTGGGGGGAGCAAGGACGGAGGTAGTGGAAGCTGGATCAAATGTGTGGCAGCAGGAGGAATGGAATCCCCACCAACCCCCTCACTTGTAATTTATTTTCCACAAATACTTCTTAAGCATAATAAGATTCCTCCTTTCTGTTCTTATCAGGTGAACAAGGATTCTCAAATTACAAAATGGCCATTTGCCGGTTCCGCAACCATCTTAACACCTCCTGCAGTAACTTCTTTGGTAAAGCATGAATGTTTTTGAATTGTCTTCCTTTGCAGAGAAATTACAATAGCACAATAGAGGTGGAGTTGGGAAGGAAACATTTACTTGATGCATATAGAATGCACCCAAATCCGAAGCAAAAATGTCTTCTGGGTATTGGACAGGATTTCCTCACTGAAATCGGAAAGTCTGATTATAATAAAGAGGAAAATGTTTCTGAAAATGTGCTAAAGTACTGTAACAGATGCCTTGGTAAAGTTACCCCTTTGCCACAGGCACTTATATATCCTCTAAACATCTCTGTGCCTGGAAAAAGCTGGACCAGCTGAGGATTAAAGCAGAGGACATCCCACCATGATTGTCAGGAGAATGCCTGATGGGTATAGCTTGTTTATCTTGGCTATTCTGGAATGCATTATGTGCCAGCTGTGCAGGAAATGAATTTAATAGAGGTATTCTATGTTTCCCCAGAGTTACAAGAAGCCAGATCATAGGTCTTCCATTGGTTTTCTCCTCTTAAGCAGAGCAAGGTGCCTAAATATAGAGAGGGACTGGGTTTTGTGTTTTATTTCTTTTTAAAAAGCAATGAAAAACTACTATGATTTAATGCTATTTGGTATTAATAATGAATAAAGGTTTTATTCTAAGAATGAGAGCAGGTGGTGTGTTTTTTCCTCCTCATGAACCACTGCTAATAACTGCACAGGAAAGTGTCACTCTTTATACTGTATTCTATTTTTCTTCCTCTTTAGTACTCTAATTTGGGAAAGTTTGATTTTTTTGTACATGATAGCTAATTAAAAAGGTGTAAAATTTCCTTCTGTGGTTGGACATGGAAAATCTGTGCCAGTCTTCCCAATTTCTGGCCCACCCATTTCCCCTTCTTAAACGCTGAATTTGTTTACTTGACTGCCATCTTTTCTCCAAGGAGATGAGTGGCTGTTTTAGTCTCATAGGGAACTTAAACTACTTTGCCTTAAATCTCAAAATTCTCCTTTGAGAATTTGGATAAAGAATGTTCTTTGAATATTCAAGGAATATTTGGTAGTCAATGTGAGCATTTGATCTCCAATTTCATTAGTAACTTCCAAAATAAAATTATGGCTGACACATAGCAGTCAGCATTTGATTGGTTCAGGTGTATACGGCAGACACCCATCGATGCCAGTGATTGTTTTGGTGGGAAGGGTA